GTTTACATCCACTTAAATTCACTGTTATTTGCCTATTCGATATTTATATTCTAGCCTAGCCTTTGATAGTGATTGCTTTATTCTTTTTGGTCCTGGAGTTTTTACTCTTATCCTTGTTTTCATCTGCGCCTACTTCACTTGATTTGCTATTTTCAATACTTTATTTAAGTTGAACCTAATGAATCTGGTAGCGTACAACCTCTTCCAAAGAAAAAAGGTTATCGTGATAAGGCTTTCAAAGAATATAAGGCCTGCGAGATCAAAGGAAACCGTGGAGGTGAAGATATAGATACTCTTTGCGAGTTTATAATGAGCAACAAGGCGGGAACTTCTCAACCATCTCGAAAATCCCATCAGAAGAAACGAAATAATCCCATAGCTCCTCGTGTATCTTCAAATGGCAACAAACTCTCTATTAAGGACGGTGAGGATGAAGAAAAAGAAGATCGCAATGATGTAATGGAAGCAGGTGGTGTCGACGGCGATGGATTAGACTTGGAGACTGAAAGAGACGAATCCTTAATTACTCCAGTTACTTCCTGGCAGACTAACTCGGTTGCCTCGTCACAACTTCAGAAAAATCAACTTCAACAGCATTCTCGGGCTAATGTAAGAAGGCGAGCGAATGCAAACTCATGTGAGACTAGCAGCAACACGCCAAGCAGTCTCGATGATGAGCCTGAAGATGAAGAAGATCATGATGATGAAGAGGACGAAGAAACATCTACTTCCTACTCACACACTGGAGATATAAACCGTTCACGGCAGCCCGCACAGGCAGTCGGGATTGCAACCGGGGCATCCCCAGTCGTCTTGCCAGTTAGGAAAAAGAAAAGTCAACTTGTCGCAACCGCGGCTTCTGGGATCCGGAGCGCCGGCAGCATGGCATCCACTCCATCAAGTTCACCATCTTCCGGCTTCTCGCGTCATGACGGCCTAGTCGGTTCAGGACGCACATTGAAGCAATCAACTTCATCCTCTGCTTCCTCTACTTCGTCTGACCAATTCCACCAAATTTCCGGTCCTCGTCATCGTCCTACGAACTCTGCTATTACTAAGTCGCCTTCGCCACCTCCGGTATCTTCCGCAACTCATTCGATAATCAGTGTCTCATCCGCCTGTCCTGCCTTTTCATCAGCCAATCCCCTCGGACTCGGCAAGCCAGCCAGTCCTGCACCCTCAGATGGTTCCAACAGTCATGAGCCCTGGAGGCAGCAAAATAGCCGTGCTCGGGGACAGCATCGTACACTGGCCCTAGTCCCTAGTAATGGCCCAGGGCAGAGGAGCGGACGTTTTCTTGCTGCTTCAGGCTCCTATTACTACCATGGCCAGTCTCAGCCTCTTTACCATCAACACCCCCACCATCAGCAGCCTCACAAGGTTGGTGGTCCAGCAAGCGGTCAAGTTGTTTCCAGTTCTTCTTCGTGTTCCGCCTCGTCGACTTCGCCGCCACAGCCAGGCTGGTCGACATCTGGACGCTATTCAACTGGCGGGCCAGTTTATTCTGGATCTGGTTCATTCTCTTCATCGCGTGGCAGCCAAGTTGGACCATTGGCTTCCATTGTGGCTGGCTCGGTCGGTCCTGGAAGTTATCATCATCATCAGCAGCAGCAGCCACATAATGTTCACCATCACAATCTTCATGGCCACAGCTATCACAATTTTCAGCATCAACTCCACCATCACAATCACGCTTCACACCACCAACGGGGCTCTCTCGGTGGTGGGTCTGTTGGTGGTTATCAGCAGCGTAACAGCTTATCACGATACTTAACTTACCACTCATCTAAGCTTACGACTTGTCAGAACTCCGGGTCTATTCTCTCGGGATCACGTATCCCATGCAGCGAAATGGACTCTCGAAGGGATAGTGCAGGAAGCAATGAGTGCAACGAACTTCGCTCTTTATCCTCACCGCAACCAAGTGCAGCTGAAATTGGATCCAATTCAGCTTACGAGTCATCTCTTGCCTGGAACAAAAGCGTTAGTTTCATTTTTACTATCAATTATATATATATATATATAATTTTATTACGACAACTAATAACATGGTTCAAGAATTTTGCACGTCTTTTGGCAGCTTGAAAATTTTGATAAATGTGGTTTGACCTTGTTTTTTG